TATATGCTTTCTTTATGATTTAAAAGGGTGGCTCTTCTGTATGTTGATATGTTGACCTAGAGCTCCTGTGATGAAACAAGACAGTTTACAAGTGTAAGCTTCGTACATACAGCAGCAATAGCAGATAGATTCTATTCCATTGGAAATAAGCTGAAGAGCTGAAACTGAACATACTAACACTGTCCTTTACAGAGCATTTAAAAAAAAAAAAAAGAACACTTGAACAATCTAATTTCAGTTTAGGCTTTTATAACTGAGTATAAATCTAGGGCTTACCTTTTCTGCTGTGAAATACAGGTGAGATATTGCAGTGGTATTTGAATGCCAAGAAACATGTTTAAAAGTTACTGCAATTCAGAAGCGTTGCTGTCTGTGCATGTATAATAAATCATTAGGAAAATATGAACAAAATGTATTGCAGCTTAAAAAGAAAACCTGGTCTGACTATGCAGCGTTCTGATAAGATAATGTGTATTGCACACTTTTCCTCAGAGGTAGTATATTCTCTATGCTGTAGACATAGCATGTTCAGCAGAGATAAAGCTGAAATGCTCTATCACATTTTCTTGTTCACAGATGGGAAGTTAATAGTGGGTACAGGGTAGGGATGTTACGGTGAAGATATTCTAATCACACTGCTGTCAGTTCAGGCCTTTTTACTTTCAGTAATCAGCAAATCAAACCCAATTTTAACCATGGTATTTCATTTCTGTGCTAGTAATAGGTACCCTATAAACTCTGAAGTTCCTAAATATATGCATGAGCATTTTGCAGGGAAACTTGTCCATTCATTATTCTTGGTCTCCTGCTATAGAATTCCCATTGAAGACCTTTTTTTGCAGGGAAAACTTCATGTTTTAAGCTCAAATTGTTCACTGAGTTTTAAAAAAAAACAAGGTGTAGCAGAAGCACCTCTCTCTGCGTTCTCAAACGTGGGCAAATGATAACTGTAAATATCTGTGAACGGGAAAAGGCCAGAATGAAGGGAGAAGTCAGGAGTGACTTCAATTATTTCACTCCTCTGAGTTGTTGTTTTTCTTGGGGCTTATTTCTTTGTAAAATTGTTGATTTAGAGACTCTGTAGTGCCAATATGAATCACTCCAGTGCTCTTTGAAATATAAAACTCAGGAAAATTGTAACGTATTGTGATTCAATAATAATCCTTTTTGATTTAATAAGTAGTCTAAGGAAATAGTCGCTAGCAGTGAAGTGCGAAACTTCCTGTCAGTTCAGACTAATAATTTTACATTCATTTACAAGTGATACATTCTTTGCTAAATTGTACCAGAAGGGAGGAAACGTCAAGCCAGCTTTTGCAGTTGCAAGTTTGCATCTTGCATGGACTTCTACAGATTAAAATGTGGTGAAAAGAAATGTGGAAAACTACTAAAATTTTCACATTTCATTGGGTTTTTTGACATGTATTACACACTGATTTAATTTTTAGGGGACTAAACTGGGACAAGAGATCTGGTGTAAAGCTCCCGAAGCAGGTGTCTGTCATCTTCCTGAAGAAAATAGTCCACATATAGAAAAATATGACTGTAGCTCATTCTTAATGGTTTTAAAAGATTTCACGCCCCCTGCCCCCCCTGAAAGTTGGACAAAGTATGAATGAGTTGAAGGTGGCATGCAAATACTAATTATGAACAGTGTGACACTAAGGAGTTTGTATGTTTTCATAAGGGTATAATTTTCTGTGATGCATGATGACTTACACTCAGGTAACTGAAAGATGAAAACGATCAACTTGAGAGAGAAATTTCAGTTGAAATTTCAGTTAAAATTCTACACAAGTACAGCATGTGTTGTAAAAGGAAGTTTTGCTTTTGATATCAGATTGGTCATCCTGTTAAAAATAAAACTGAAACTCTACAGTAGAGCTGGTGATACATAAAAGTCCTGATATGATGGACTGTTCTCTTGAGCAGTTGTTTTCAAAAGTCACTTAATTTTAACTGCCTATCTAGAACATTTTTCAACAGTGCATGATAGAAGTTTAAAAAAAATGATACAGTGCTATCAATATGCCATCTACCGGAAAAAGATTATGCTTTAATCTCCTTCAGCAGAAGGCAGTTCTGGCTCTGGCAGTTAGCATTTCTATAAACACATGGTTAATGCATCAACTGGAAACCAGAAAACCTGCAGGTTTGCAGGAGCAGTTGCCTTTGCAAAAAGCAGGATCTATTATCCTGCTGTGTGAAATTGCTTAGCTAAGATAAAGCAGCAGCCACCTCAAGGGGCAGTAAGTTTCCTATCATGAATGATGGGTTTTTTTCCCCCATGTTTTTTTCCTTTCGAAGTACATTCTTGTTAAGTTGTTACAGAAGCAAGGTTATCTTCCTTTAATACATTTTTTGGTGTTGAAATCAATGGGCAATGACTGAGGTGGGACAGCTACTTGCCCCCTCACACACACACCTTGTCGTGTAGTGATGTCCCCTTCTTTGCGTCGTATTATGATTATAGTTTCAGAAGACCTCAGCAAGTTGTCTTCAAGCCTAATTGTAAACCAATATGAACTGATGAATTGAACAGTGTTCACACAGCATGTTGACTTTTCTCCTTATTTTACAGTGTTAAAAGGGGGAAAAACAAACAGCTATCACTTTTAAGATTCAGTGTTCATTATTAACTTCTGATATTCAGTGCTTTATGTAGCTAACATCTCAACATAGTCTAAACCCACATGCACAAACCGCATGTCCACCAAATTGCACAAAGCTAATATTTTTGAAATTAACCATTTTTCCTATATGATTTAAACTTGGTTTTAGTGCTTCTTTGAGCACCAGTGGTCACCCTAAATCATATTTCCAGTTGGTTGTAGTACCAAGGAAGTAAGAGGCCCGTGTTGTTCATTCAGTTAGTTAAATGTGTATTTCAATGAAATGAGTACAATTTACTGCTCTAAAATCAGTCTCATTTACCAAAAAAAAAAAAAGAAAAGAAAAAAAAAAAACCTAAGGGGAGCAAAGCTTTGAAGGTGAAATGAACTTGGGACAAACTATCCTGAAGTTTGTGTGTGTTTCCATGTCCATCTTTATATTCCCTTAGACTTCTCATTTTTGGCAGATCTGATAGATAAAATGGTTTTGTACGTGTTGTTCTGAAACTCCCCCCCCACCCTTCTTCTGTTGCATCAATGAGCTTTGTCAGAAGTGAGTTCCATTGTAGCGAGTGCTCTGTAAGTGCGTGTAAGCGCTGGGCCTGATTCTGCAGCTGGCTGCGTGTGTGATCTTGGACTCCTAAGCGTTCTGACTGGAAAATACATATTTACAGGGGGGTGCACCTGCATGAAATTATTCATTTGGGTCAGTAACCGAGCTCTGCAACCCAAATTACCTTGTCTAATGAGACTTGCCTATGTTTAGCTAAAAGCACCTCTTTCCAAATACTACTTGAACATTACTATTGAAGGGCAAAATTCTTAAGTTTTTGATTGCCAATGATTTTTTTCCCAAATCCTCAGTCCTTATCAGAAGCCTGATACAAAGTGAAGCTTTTTGTTTTTTTTCCTATGATAATGGACTCTTTCCTGTCCACACACAAAATGTGAGAGAGCCTTAACACTTTGAACAATTTGACTGCAACATATTTTTATAGTTGAGAACAGACCCATAAACCCAACAGGATGCAGTTTAATAACAATAATAACATTACTACTACAGCAACTCATTAAATGAATGTACAAATAACAGGGCTGTAAAAGACAGAACTTGCATTATTTTAATGGCAATGAAATGGCTGGTAGTATTTATTTATTTATTTTTCTAATAGTACAGTTCACTGGCAAGCATATTAAATTGTTGTTACAAAGCAATATGTAATTTAGTGGCATCAGAAGAGATGCCATCTCTGTGCTTCATTGCAGGATAAAAGTGGTGTGTGCGTTTCTGGGAGGTGGATGTTGCCTAGCAAAGCTATGGGTTTTGATCTGTTGTGCATCTGTCTCTGGAAGTGATAGAAGTATCCTGAATTCCATTTACCTTATAAAACACGACAAGCTGATTCAAATGATTGCTTTTTCCCTGGGGATGTTTTTAAGTTCAACTATATTCTTCCTAACATTTGGTAGATTTGGTTACTATTTTTTTTAAGGGATATGAAAATACTAATATCTTTTCCCTCCTCTCAGATAAAGCTACTTGAAGTACTCCAAAATCTGGGAAAGTAAAGGAGAACGTCACTGATATTAGTATAATGAGTTTAAAAAAAAAGTTTGAAAATTCTTGTTTCCAGTTCTTAAACTCGCATTTTAGAAACCCTTTGGGCTATAATTGGATCTTGAAAGTGACTATATCTCGTTAAGACATCTATGAATGTAGAGGAACCCTGGCCCTGTCCTAGATTTTGAAGTGGAAGAACAAGACTTGCTGTGTGTCGATACCCTGAGCTGCAGCCGCTCTATTGCTATGTGCTCCAGCAGGTAGCCAAAGGTGATTCTCCTTTTTGAAATCTCAGGCTGATACAGCAGTGTCCGTCCTTCCGCCCATGCTTGAAGATGAATTCTGCAGCCACAGTTTGACGTAGACTATTCCTTTAGCAGAAAAGAGCATGAGCTTTTGCTGTAGGGTTGGTGAATAACAGACTGTCTTAATATTGTTCTTTCTAAATTCCTTCAGAAATACAGGGGCATTAACTCTTATCATTTATGTCTCCTGCTTAGAATTCCTTTCACACTTACTTTTGCTCTCCGAGTTTTCTGGGTTGTAAAAGCGTTCTGATTTCTATCAAGCTGGAAAATGATGCATGTTCAGGTAATGGTTTGTAAGGACTTCTGTTAGAGGTACAGTTACTTCC